GTGGAGGCCGAGGTGTCTGCTGACCCGTAGTGGCTGTGTCCACTCCGAATTGGGGCTTGTCCCATATTTTTTATATATATATTTTTTTAGAGACTTAAATCTTTATGTTTTTGCTTTTGCCTTGGGAGGCTTTATTATCAATTTCTTTCGAACAAGATATTTGCCTGAGGAGGCTTTTAAACCTTTTTTGAATTATAATCCCTAGAGGGTTTGGTTAAAATAAAGTGCGGGTTTGCAAGGTCCGCTTTTAACACTCTTTGGCCTTGTGGCTATGTTTTTTGAGATTTTTAGGCTGATCATGCCCTTCTCTTGGAATGCGAGTTCCCCACCTCGGGTTTAGTCAACTCGGTAAGTTCGTTGGGCTTGGGCCTCAAAACTTTTATGCTTAAATGGGCTCTCTGCCTTAAATGCGACGGTTGCTCTTTCCCTTTCTTGGGAAATAGGAAAAGCCGCACGACTTTAAGGCAATAACTGCCTTTTCTCTATTTCCGAAAACAGTTTTAACCACTCGGGTACTCTACCATCATTAATTTTACGGTTTCAAGATAAACCCTAGACCTATTATAAATAGGGGTATGTTTGCATCTATCTTTCTCCAAGGAACTCCAAAATACCCTTGATAATTTTCACAATAATGGAGAACGAAAATGTGACCCCCGTCGATCCTGGCAGCCCACTGTTCTTGTCCGGTGATGGCTTCGAGCCGGCCGGCGTTCTCTTTCCTCATGCTGTGTTCCACTTCCCTTCGAGGGAAAAGAAAGAAGCTTACGACTTCATGGACAAGGTCAAAATTCAACTTTCTTGACCAAAACCTTACGCCTTTCACTTTTAATTTACTCCTTTCTGTGACAGGTTGTCGACAAACATCGCCGTTTGTGCGACGAGAGGCAGCGGCTGGGCCTTAAGAGGCAAACACTCGAGGCTCGCATTGCTCGAGTGGAAAGGAAGGTGAGAGCCTTAGAGAGTGACCCCTTTCAATGGGAATGGAGGAACTTCGATTCTATCGCAGAAATCCCGAGGATGCATCGGATGTATCTCCGTGCTAAGGGTCAAGTTGAGGGACCGGTGAATGCCCCAATCTATACCGCCCCACTTGACAGCGAAGAGGAAGACGAGGAGGAGGCCAGCACTCATCGGAAACGTGTTCGGGATGATCCCGAAGTGGATGCCAAAGACAAGGCGTCCACTTCGAACATTAAACCGGCGATGAAGGAGCCTGTTCCTGAGCCCCTTCCATAAATGTTCCCTAACTCTGCTCTCTCCCTTTATTTTTATTTTTATTTTTTTTTTTTTTTTTTTTTTGAACTCGTAATGGACTTCGGCCTTTTTCATTTATGGAAACATTTGCAACTTTCCTTTTTCCGTGCATTCGCCTAGTCGAACCTTATTTGCCTTGTACGTTCGCATAGTCGAACTTTTTCTCTTTAAGAAATAAAAACAAATTTTCATTAATAGCTGAACTCGTTTCCGAGCTGCCTACGTACCCATTTCGGGATCAAGCCACACCGTAGTTCATGTACATAATAAAATGCGTGTTATTTAAACATAAAACTTCTTTAGATTGATCACGTTCCAAGGTCGCTGGACTGGACTGCCTTCTAAGTCTTTCAACCTATAAACACCATTTCGAACCACTTCGGTAACAATATAAGGCCCTTCCCAATTAATGCCGAGTTTGCCTGCGCCTTCTTCTTTTTTATTATCAAAAACTCGCCTTAGCACATAATCGCCTACGAAGAATGGCCTACTTTTGACTTTAGAATTGTAGTATCTAGCTGCTGCTTGCTGGTAATTTTGTATCCGAATTAAAGCTTGATCTCGTCTTTCATTGATAGTGTCCAGCGAGTCATCGAGCATCGCTGAATTTTCTTCCTCATTCAGCGGTGCTTCCGTTCGGCGAAGACCAGGTACGTTGAGTTCAGCCGGTACTACTGCCTCCATGCCATAAACTAGAGAGAACGGAGTTTCTCCGGTAGGTCGCCTAGGGGTTGTACGATAAACCCACAAGACGGGTTGGAGTTCATTATACCATCCTCCCTTTAGGTGACTCAAGCGTTTTTTGAGATTACTCAAAATTGTTTTGTTCGCAGCTTCGGCTTGGCCATTTCCTTGTGGATACCGTGGAGTAGAATAACTGACCTTGATTCCCCATTCCGAGCAAAAAGCTTCAAACTTGTGCGAAATGAATTGTGGTCCATTATCAGTAACTATCTCGTATGGAACCCCATGCCGGCATATGATATTCTTCCAAATGAAAGTATTCACCGCCGAATCCTTGATGCTAGCATATGCTTCAGCTTCAATCCACTTTGAAAAATAATCCGTTAAGACCAATAGGTATTGCACTCCCCGAGTTGATCTATGCAATGGTCCGATGATATCCATCGACCACCTCATAAATGGGTACGGGGCAGAGATGGAGGAGAATAATTCCGAAGGTTGATGGATCAATGGTGCATGGAGTTGACAACGTTTACACCTTTGAGCGAACCTGACACAATCCGTGATCATAGTGGGCCAATAAAAGCCCATTCTTTTTATTTTAAAAGCCATGGCCCTTCCAGACGAATGACTTCCACACAGACCTTCGTGTACTTCTCTCATGACGATTTCGACTTCGGGCCCAAAAATGCACAATAGGTAAGGGTCGCTGACACCCCGCTTATACAACGTATCCTTCGATAGACAAAATTTCGCGCTAACGATTCTCATTTTCCTGGCTTGCCACTTATTTTTTGGGAGCTCACCTGTCATGATGTAGTGCTTTATTGGCTCCCTCCAATCAGCCCCCCAATCTTTAGTCGAAATTTGGTCAATCTCATGAAATACTCGTGGTTCCGGTTCGGGATGTTCATTTGGTTCAAGGTCTGGTTCGGGATGGTCGTCTTTGATTAATGGTTCCGTATCTATAACCGTTTCTGGAAGTATATCTGGCTCCTTGTCGTGTTTTTTCGACTTCCTCCGTTTAACAGGTGGCAGCTCGACCTCGGGCTCGCCACGTTCACGCGCTGCTGCTCGAGACCTTGTAACAACGAGAGCTTCTTTGTCAGTTTTAATGCTTCGCTCCGAGATGCATTCAACCGGAATGATTCTTTTTAGTTCAGGATCTGATGTTGACGCTAACGCGGCAAGTGCATCCGCGGTTGTGTTTTCTCCTCGAGGTATGCGAATTAGTTCGAATTTCTTGAAGTCTTTGGATAGACCCTTCACTACTTCGAGGTATGCTTCCATTCTCAGGTTTTTTGCTTCATAATCGCCATTGAACTGATTAACTACTAACTGTGAATCGCAATAAGCAACCACTTCTTCAGCTTCAACTCCTTGTGCCAGTCGAAGTCCGGCAATTAGTGCCTCATACTCTGCCTCATTGTTAGAAGCATTAAACAATAGACGGAATGATTGTTCAAGAATTTCCGACGTTAGAGACTCCAACTTGATTCCTACCCCGGATCCTTGTTTTGATGAAGATCCGTCTACGTACAGCTTCCAAATCCGATTTTCTGGTTGCTCCGGTGTGCCTAGTACTGGTAGTTCGGTTAGAAAATCCGCCAAAACCTGAGCCTTCATGCTGACCCGGCTTTTATACTCTATGTCATATTCGCTCAGTTCCACTGCCCATTTTGCCAATCGTCCGGACTGACTTGGACTATGAAGTATTGTTCGGAGTGGCTGGTTGGTTAACACTTCGATTGGATGAGATTGAAAGTATGGTCGTAGCTTTCGGGCTGAAGTTACTACTGCAAGTGCGAGTTTTTCCATCATTGTATACCTTGTTTCTTGATCTGTCATTGACTTACTTATGTAGTAAATAGGCTTTTGCTCCCCGCGGTCCTCCCGGACCAAGACTCCACTAACTGCATGTTTTGACACAGAAACATACAAATAGAGCTTCTCGTCCACTTCGGGTTTAGACAACACTGGTGGAGTAGTTAGGTATGCTTTAAGTTGTCCGAAAGCTTCTTCACACTTCTCATCCCAAAGGAACCCTTTGTTTCCCTTAAGAATTTGATAAAAAGGTAAAGATTTGTCCGTTGATCTTGAAATAAACCGGTTTAGAGCTGCAATTCGACCAGTCAAACGCTGTACTTCCTTGAAGTTCTTCGGAGATGGCATGTTTATAAAGGCATTGATTTGGTTTGGATTAGCTTCAATTCCTCTTTTTGTCACAATATAACCAAGGAATTCTCCGGATGGAACTCCGAAAGTGCACTTCGCCGGGTTCAGCTTCATTTGATATTGGTTGAGAATTTCGAAACATTCCTCCAAATGCTTAATGTGATCCTCTTTTTTCAAAGACTTAACCAACATATCATCTATGTAGACTTCCATTGTCTTCCCGAGATGCTCATAGAACATTTTATTGACCAACCGTTGATAAGTTGCACCTGCGTTTTTTAAACCAAAAGGCATTACTTTATAACAGTAAGTACCTATGTCCGTGATAAACGACGTCTTTTCTTGGTCTTCAGGATCCATCATTATTTGATTATAACCCGAGAAGGCGTCCATGAAGGTTAATAATTCATTCCCAGCGGTAGATTCCACGAGCCGGTCTATATGCGGGAGCGGAAAACTATCTTTTGGACATGCTTTATTGAGGTCGGTGAAGTCGATACACACTCTGTCTTTTCCATTTTTCTTTTTGACCACGACAGTGTTTGCTACCCACTCCGGGTATTGTACCTCCCTTATAGATCCTATTTTTAATAGTTTGTCCACTTCATCATTTACTGCCTTTGCTCGTTCTACTCCGAGTTTTCTTCTTCTTTGTTTTACAGGCTTGAAGCTTGGATCCACGTTCAGTTTGTGGCAAATTATGCTTGGATCTATGCCGGGCATATCCGCTGCTGACCATGCAAACGACGTCTTGTTTTTTCTTAGAAGTTCGATCAAAGCTTCTTTTATTTCGCCAGTCAAAGTAGCTCCAATTCGGACTTTCCGATCTGGTTTGTCATCTTCTAATACTACTTCGATTACTACATCATCCTCTTTCTGCCCGCTAGGAAATCTTGGAATTATTCCCTTCTTCGCAGGTTTCGTTAATTGCTATTGGATCTTCAGTCGATGACTGGTCAGATAACACGTTCGTGAAGCTTCTTGAGGTCTAGGGTAATTACTAGGGCGTCATCATGAGGTCTTTCGAGGTGACGTGTTTCTTCTTCGTCGAATGATATTGACGCGCCTTGAAAGTCAGCCTCTTCGCCCAAACTTGCTTTAAGTAAAACATTCCGCCTATGCTTCTTTATGGCACTGACTGTATCTCGGCAAAGTTTGGAACCTCCAAGGATTACATTGATTTTTCCTTTTGAACTCCTAGGTTCTTCTTCATTGGACAACCTTGGTCTTTTTGAGCTCTGATCTTTAGAGTTATCCTTTGCTTCGTGATATTCCTTCACGAAGTCTTCTATCTTGAATTTAGAGAGATCTCCACTGGCCCATAGTTCTGCGAGATGCTTTTTGAGGACACTACAGTCTTTGGTTAAGTGTCCGGTTACCTTATGGATGTCACAATACAAACTTTCGTCACGGACCCAAGTGTTCGACCTTCCCTTTCCTTGAAATTGCTTCCCGACGGTATTGTTGAGAGGTTGTGATCCAAACTTTTTTGGTCCTTGGTTCTCCCTAGGCTCAAACTTTTTGGTAGGGAAGGTGACCGCTGGTTTCACTTGTTTGTTCCTTTTCGCAAAACTCTCTTTTTCGTCTTCTACTTCCATCCAATTGTTTGCACGGAAAAGTGCATCTTGAATCGTGTCCGGTTTGTGAAGTATTAGATCCTCTTTGAACCTTGAATCATGCCACAAACCTTTTCGTAGGGCAGATAGAGCTGACTGCTGCGAAATTCTCGGGAGTTTGGATAGCACTCCCTTGAATTTGGTGATGAAAGCTCTAAGTGACTCATTCGGCCCTTGTGTTAGATTCCAAAGGTCAGCATCCAAAACGCTTTTATCCATAAGGATAGAATATTGTTTCAGGAACACAGCCGACAACTCGTCGAAGTTATTGATTGAGCCTGGTTCCAGCTGGGTGAACCATATTAGTGCTTGACCGCAAAGATTTTCCGAAAAGAGTTTGCAGTATCCTGCATCCTCGTCAGCCTCATCCAATTCGACTCTTCCGGCGGCAATCAGAAAAGCTGCGAGATAGCTCTTTGGGTCTTCCAGTCCACTATAAGGGTCCAGTTTGAGTTTCCGAGAATCCTTGATTCTCAAGTTTGCAATTCGCGGGATGAAAGGTGTTCGCCTAGCTTCCTCAATGACTCGGTTGATGTCTGGCTCCGAACTAGTGGCCTGGTGGAACTTTGATTTCATTTCCCTTAGTTCCTGGCTAACCTTTTTCATGGTTTCGAGCTGTTCGAAGCTTTCTTGATCATACTGATCTACAAGCTGATCTTCATCTCCGAGCTGCGTCTCTCCTTCCACCGGTTGAATTGCTGGGTTAGGAGTTGTTTGTTCGTTGGTTTCATTTCGCGCACGGGAGTTTGGCGTATTGAACATACTCCTTCGGACTCCCACAGTATTTCCTGCACCTAGAGAACGAACACGAGATTGAATAGTATTGACGCTTTGGCCAAGAGATACCTGGGTTGTTTCAAGTGTGTCCACAGCTTTTTCCACATCCGAGAACTTCTGTGACATTTCTGACATGGTTTGCTGCATGGCCTTGAGAGTCTCAGCTACTGACGAGTCAGGGATGCTTGCTCCAGACATTGCTGCTTATTTCGGAAATGTAGTGATGAAAATCTGACAACTCAAGAATCTTCTGATCCCCACAGGCGGCGCCAAAATGTGGACGTCGGATTCACACACTCAAATATTTGTTTATTTAGTGGGAAGATTATTCTTGAGGACAAAAAATGATATGAAAAAGCTATGAATTGCAATGGGAATAACTATAGTATATTTGCTAGAAAAATTGCTCGTCCTCTTTACATGGCTCGTGGCCCTCTTACTTATACTCACAAACGACATTAATCTCCTAATTAAATACAATTATTCTCTCTTTAATGCGTTCGTTTTGGTCTTCGAGTTTAATGCTCAACGTTTGAATTTGAATTGATTCCGCTCTTCGTGGGCCTCGCCTTTTGGCCCAAGTTTCCTCGTAGCCGACCTAACTACGACTTCGATTCTGGGTCGCATCCCGAGATGCGACCATTCCGGGCTTTCTTTGTGGTGATACCCACTTCGACTCTGCCCTTAACCCACGGGTTTAATGGGCCTTATCCTTTGCGGGCCTTCACCTTGATTACGTGGCAATCTTTGGTTGGTCCCGGACTACTGGTGCGGGATCCGACACCAACACATATATATATATAAGTCCGATCGAATCAAATATCATAATTTTTGTCAAAAAATAAAAGCTCAACGATTTCATCGACGATATATTCAAATCGGAGAAAACAAAAACGGAAACTTGAGAAAAAAATAAGAGGAAAGAAAGATATTTACTTGTGGGCACTGAATTCAGATTCCAATTACATCAATCGCTGAGAAAAAGACGTAGGAGATTTAGAGTTCGATTGCGGAACACCGCCATAGCTCCCCCGCACTCCGGTGATAGAAACTCTTTTAGACATACAGTGAAACAATCGTCTCTTATTGGCTGCCATTAGTGAAAGTCTTTCAGATATGAAAGCAAAGGTCTTCCTTTTTTTTCCTCTCCGTTTAACTGTTTATCTAATCTATCTCTCTCCTTTGTTCATCTGTTTTTCCAGAAAAAAATGATCGTTTTCGGACTTTTTCAGGATACAAATTTTATCTGAATACTAAAATTGATTTACGGTTTGGTCTCAGTTTAACATTCAAATTTGATTTGGTTCTTTTTTTGCCTTCAAATTATTTAATTATTAAATATTTAATTAAAATCATTTCTCCAATTTAAATTTCTTCAATATTAAAAAAAATCATTTAAAAATATCCCGCGGCGGAGCGCGGGTTTCAACCTAGTTACATTAATTAGAGAATTCTGGATTGTTTAGTAATCACTCGAATCAATAACCTAAACCCGAAGACTCGTTTGTTTAATATTGCTTGAAATAGTTTCGTTTATATCTCGCTCTCCCGCTTTGTCTTAATCTGAACCTTATTAGGTGTTTGCATCTTGTGTTTTCTGCATTGATTGAGTTTGTTTGATTATTATTACTAAGTTTTGATTTTTTTTTTCGAAAAGGAAAACCAAAAACCCGAAAACAACTTGATTTGGTTAGGCTAAGTAGTTTCACGAATTGTTAGTGCATTAATCTTTATTTCTTAAGAATCGATACTGTTAATACTAGAATTGAACAAGATATCTTAGACTTAGAGAAGAACGGAGAATTTTTCTGTTGTTCGGCAATTACAAAACGAAAATTACAACGACGAAGAGATTGTTTGAACAAGATGTAAGTGATAACCGAAACGCTCGAGCTGAACTAAAGAGGCCGAGCAAAATTATGACGAGCTGAAGTGGTCGACTAAGATGATGAATTTTACTATTTTTGTGTGTCAGCATGAAATCTGGATCCTTTTATCTACAATATTCCTCTGTATTTATAGATGAGAAAGACGGTTGCAAATCTCTGTGCGGAACTTTTTCTTTTACCTTTCTTCAGTTGGAAGTCTTATTGGGCCGAGCCGAGCAGATGGGCTGGACCCTTTTTCTCTTTGCTAGACAAAACTCCAATTTGGGCCGGGCTTTATTATTGACGTCAGCCCATATTCAACAAATACTCAAGTACACGATGACACACCAAATCCATATGCTTGTGGTGAAGAGTGAACAAAGTTTAAAACTTTATCGATATCAGTATTATCCTTGGAAAAAATCACTCTCTTGTTCTATCTGCTATGTGTCATCAAAGATTTTAGGGATTGGTTCTGGTGACTCGATTAAAAGAAATGTATTAGTAATAGGTAGAGAGGGACCAGCTCGGGCAACACGCCGTTAGTTCAAGTTTCCAACAATAAATATATTTAGGAATCCTAAGCTTTTTTAGTTAATTAAAGATTTGATTTGTTTAGTTATGGGTAAAGTCTCCGTGACTTTGTAGTAAATCCATGCAAAGACACATTTACATGTTCCCAACCCATGCACTTCATTTGACACACTTCCTTGTGCATTCTTTCATATTTATTTTAGGGAAATTTATTAAAGTGACCCATAATTTGTGTTTAATTACTAAAATGGCATACCAAAAATATGGGTTATATGGATAATATTTATGACTAAAATGTCCCTGTTTTGCTTTGTAGAGAAAAAACATATTACAGGAATGCCATTAATATTTAATTCCAGCGTGGCAAAAAAATACAATTTATTTACGATACTGCCACTCCGTCCTTTTGCTCGTTTTTGTTAAATCTGTGGCTCATGTTGCGACATATTTATTTAGTACGACAGACTATTTGATCCACCACAGACTTTCTTCGTCAGACTTTTTTTGTACCACAGACTTTGTTTGATTTAGTAATGACAGATTTATATTTTTCCGCAGATTTTTTTTTCGCGACAGATTTGTTGTATGTTGTATCCACAGATTTTTCTAAAATTTTTAGATTTTGAATGGTTATAAAACAAATCTGCCACAGATATGTTTTCCAACCGCAGACTTTTCTTTGTTTTGGCAACAGATTTTAGAATTTTTTTAAAAAATTGTCGTTTTATAACAGATTTTTTAACACAAAAAATTGATATATAATGATGACATAGTTGTTTTTGTACTCGCAGATTTTCTTTATTTGTTGACAAATCTGGCGTTTTATAGCAGGTTTTTAAAAAAATATATAATTACTAAACAGTCGCATAGTGATAACAGATTTGTTTTTAGTTATGACAATTATGTTTTTTGGACCCTAAGCATAACAGATTTTCTTATGTCATGTTATGGCCGATTTGTTTCTAACTAGAATAACCTTTTTAGTGTTGGCAGACTTTTGGTTGGCAGATTTGTTTTTGAAATTTTAAAAAAAATCGTGTTATATGAGATTTAATATCTAGCCTCAAATTCAACAGAACTCCAAATCTTGCCGGTTTGCTTGTATGTTTAAACCGGTTTGATTGCGTTTAGTTACGACAGACTTTTATTATCTCTGACAGATTTGTTAAGTTTAAGGGCCCATTAACTGATGAACCAAGGGAAGCACCGATTCAGTTTCTGGAGATCTCGTAAATGCCGATAATTCAAACCACCACCGGAAAGATAAGAATCTTGTTCGAGAAAAACTTCAAACCAAGGACCCAGGGATCCTTGAAATCAACACGATTTCGGCATGCACACTACGAAATCAAACGGAGGCGGCTGAGGATTAGAGATGATTCTAGGGTTTTAAGTGGAACCATCGGAGAAGAGAGTTTCAAAATTTTGTCGATTTGATTTCCTTTTCTCGACATTTTATTCTTTATTTACATATTTGTTTATTTTTATTTTTATTTTTCTTTTTTAAATGGCAAACGGCATGATTGTTATTAATATTAACTACAAAGGTTAATTAGTTTTTTTTACTTAAAATGTGGGTTAGTCTAGTTTACTAAATGAAACGGGTGTCATTTAAGTTATATTAGCTAAGTTTAGAGTCATTCTAGGTAAATCTCAGTTTATTTTTTTGTCATCATCATCTAATATAAATTATAAAAATGTCATCTGTTCTACAATCAACAAAATTTCACAGATTATAATATAATTTTCCTAGTTAAAGTTCATAAATTTTACTAAAAGTTTTCCTATCATTTTGTTTATATTATTGATTAAACGTTAAATATTTAATTTTTATCTCGTCATTTTTTTAACTTGAATAAACTTCCGCCTTGACATATTAGGCGTTTTATTCACATTAACATATTTCTTTTTTTACGAACAAATTCTATAATATACAGTTCTCCCAATAACACTTGGATCTCCTATTGACGATTTTTACTTGTGCCGTGCTAATTAATGATGGACAATCTTACCTTTGATAATTGAAATGGACAGTTTTGCACGCAACATTCTGAAACGTCTGATTTGTTTTGCACCAATAATCTGTAAATAACTACATTCTATAAAAGTCAAAGTCCAAACCTAGTTTAGAAATCTTTAAAGCTTTGATAATTTGAATAAACGACTCTCACAATAAAATATTATTGTAACAAATCACTTATGAGGTAATGAATCTCACCTTGTACTCTCTTTTTTCTCACGTCGAAGGTAAAATTGTCTGTGTTATGCTCCTCCAACTACTTATTTTTCTAACTAAACATTTCTTTTTATCTATCTAAAAAACCCTGAAGAAAACATGTGAAAGATGGGATTTTCTCGCCTTTTGGCTTGGTTAAGCAGGAAAATATGTATCTAATAATTGCTTTGTTGTGTCTGGAGTCTGGAGGCTATTATCGAGGGGGCAATATATATATATATTACATGCATTGATAATAAAGATGCACCTAGAAGTACTATTATTCTTTTTGTTATTGCTAGACGACAGAAACCGTGCCCTTTTGACTCGGGTCTTTACTCTTTACCTCTCAATGAGACCACATAAAGAAATATAAACTTGTAACGAACATATTTTATTGAGCTTCTTTACCCTCATATGTATGTAACTCTTCTTCAAAAATAAAAAGAGAGAGAGAAAACTTGGAAGAATCTGTCTTTGATAATCATGATGCGATTCACAATCATAGTAATAGCTTTCCTTTTGATTATTCAATCCCTAGAGGAGGAACATGTCCTAGTCTACGCTCATGAAGGTGCCTTTTACATAAAGATCCCTAATTTTTCCTTTTCTTCCATACCTTACTTTTTCTTGCATAATTTTTGTTTTTATTTTTGAAGATTAGCTTACTAACAATTTTTGTTTACATTATAT